AGGGCCACCTCTCATGGGAAAGACCCAGGGCACTGGATGCTCCAGCCAAGGACCCAAGATCTAGATCCTGGTGGCGGTATTTGAACTGCCTGCAAATCCCTCTGGGCCAGGTAAGACTGCCAGTGGTGAGGGGAAAACATAGAATCAGAGAATAATACGGATTTGAAAGGACCTTCAGATCATCCAGTTCCAACCCCCTGCCATGGGCAGGAACACCTTCCACTAGAGCAGGTTGTTCAATGCCCTGTCCAACCTAGCCATGAACACTGCCAAGGACCCTGAGGTAGGTGCTGGAAGCAGGCTGAATAAGAGTTTAATCTTTGCTTGGTCTGTTATGATACCTTATCCTGTGGCTTCAGACATTAAACTTGTGCAAGCCAGGGAGGTGATGCACACTTACACATGCAAACAAAGTGGGACAGACAAAGAGATAATGTGCTTAATGATGAAATGTGAAAAGGGGAATGTCTTTCCCTCACACTCAGCCTGGTTTACAAAGGTCTCTCTGCCACACCAGAAGACTCTCTGCTCTTTGATGTGTTCTACTGCGAGGATGAACATGCTGGAGGTTTCATTTTTTTTCTCTGAAGCTGCAGGCCACAGATGAAAAGCTGAGATCAAGAGGTCCAAATGCTGAGTCAGGGGTTTATTTTTGCTGTTTCTTTAGAAACACCTCACCCAACTTCCCTTGGAAAAGAAAGGAGAAGCTTAGAAAAGCAGTACTGCTTTGTTCTCCCCCTGCCACAATGTATATATTGACACTGACAATTTTAAAGGACTTTTGGGAGGGAGGCTACATGGTCTCTGGGGACACTTTCCTTAAAAACATCAGAGAATTTGGCTTATATTTGTGTGACTGTTGGCATCTGGCTCCTAGATTTATGCTTCCAGAGAAATTCCAAAGATGACTTGGAAAAGTCAAATGCAGTGGGCCAAGGGTGTAATTTCCTAAACCTTCAGCAGGCAACTATCAGCTAAGTTATATATTATGAAGAACAGGGTCTATTGACACAGGATTCTCCATGAATTTACAGATGTAAATTGCATAGGTGAAATACCACTTTAATTTGTTTTCCATGTAATTGTGTGCATTACCTTCCTCACTGACTTACTAATGCAGTAAGAACTTTTGAGGGGTGGTGGTACAGATGTAAGAATGCAGACTGTAACAGAACTCCAGTTGCAATGTTGTCTCTGGAAAAACTACTGTTTTTTGAACACGAAAGGACACACAGTTTTTGTATAGCTTTGCAGTGACATCTGAAAAGATGCCCCTCCTGTTATTTCGAGACAGTAAGGAGAAGAGACACCAGGAGACGGGGGAAGGATTGCTTCCTCCTTTAAGATAGGAGCTGGACTTCTTTTGAGTTATTTGGCATTGAGTCAGGAGATAAAAATACAGCATCTAGATGAATCAGTGACCTCTTGTATGATCATGGAAGCTGTGGTAGATGGTTGGGCATGAAGAGCCTGGAACTACACATCTTCTCCATGTTCTCATCAAGAAACTTTGAATCTTTAACAAAGATGCAAGACAAGGCTGGAATCACTGTGTTGAGGATGTCTCCAGAGGGAAGACTCTCCCTCACACTTTAAGTAATAACACCATGTCCTATACCAATGTCTCAGAGTCTCAGGTACCTGTGAAGCGTCAGTTAAGAATGACCTTGCTGGGACCCAAATCAGACAACTTCAGCTTTCCCACACAGCTTGGAACAATCTGTTTCACAAACCCAGCTAACCCCTTTGCAAAACACATTTAAATGCCATTTCTTTCACTTGCCAACATGCACCCATTGAACACACAAGCTGTGCTTCAGGAGCAAGGAGAACAAAAGCATCACTCCAAGATGCTTACAGGAATTTGTTGGAATAAAATGTTCCATAGAAGGACCAATACCTTCTCCATTATGCATCCTTTTTGATAGCATCAGAATAAGATCCTGGTTTAAATGCACAGGAATGGCGTGGCTTCAGCAGTTACACAGCTATTCTGTGTGCTCTGGGAAAGGGGACATCAACAGATTGCAAAATGGGAAAGTCTCTCTGGATGCTGCAAACAAACATGTTACGTAATTGGGCCTTTTGGGAACTGAAAGAAGGTCTCCAGAAGATCAGGGCCCTCACAGCACTTACTAATTTTACTGGAACTTACCAGCAGTTTAATAATAGAGGCTTTTACATGGTTTTCTTTTATCGTTGTGTCCCCCTGCACTGCCCTACCTTTGTTGCTAGTGCCCCACAAAAACACAACGCATCTTACCCTCTTTTATCAAGCTGATTGATACAGCCTAGAATGGCAAAGAGGCACTAAACACCTTTAGAAAGGGAAGCAAAACCATCTCTTGGCCACCAAAGCATGGGAAATCCTCAAGGTTTAGAACTCAACTGAATCAAATATGCTGGGGAATTGCACCATTCTACATAGCTGCATTTTAGCTGAAGGACAGCGCTAACAAGGAATGACATAGCAAAAGGGCTTTAGCTCTATAATCCACATACTGTGCTAGCATATATCTTTACTCCCATTAGAGCAAATTCTTCCAAGGGATGATGCCTGTAAGCAGCACTTCAGCTTCAGGACTATACTGCACTTTTGCTGGAGGGCTGTCCTAAACTTGTGCCCTGGCAAACAGACATGCAGGGAATTTTCTGCAAGTCAGTTGTACCATTCTATACCTGAACGTAGACTGTAGCAGCCAAGCTTTAGATGAGTACCTACCGCCTTTCAGGCACATGAATAGACTGCAATTTCTACAACCAGTTTCATCCTTCTCGCAGGAAAATGAAGTATGTGCATGTCCTCTCCTACGTGAATGCGTGAATGAAGCAAGCCTCTTGGTCAACATATGGCCCTGCAGTTGCCACCTCTTTTCACCCCATTCCCCAAGCCCTGATCTGTACCAGGCTGCTAACTCCTAAAGTGGTGCTTCCCATGTACCATCCCTCCCAGTGATTCCAGGGAGAGATAGTTTAAAGGCAATAGAGAGATGATGCAAAGCCCTGGCATCTGCACAGAAAAAACACCCTCGGGTTTCTAAGAAAGCTGTTTTCCCCCTGTTTCTTGCTTGCTGTGCACATGCTGACAGCCAGTAAGAAAAGGAGGGAGGAGGCTTGCCGGCATGTGGAGGGCACATCAGCACACCCCGGGAGGCCAGGCAGTAGCGCCGGCAGGATGTGGTCAGCCTCTTCCCAGAACACCCGTTGGTTACTGGGCTGTTGGCAAAAGGCAGCAGTGAACAGATTAGTGGAGGAAAGGCCACCAGCAGAGGCACAGCACAGAGGGTCCTGGTGCAAAGCCTGGGAGAAGACACCACTGTCGCACTGCAAAACGCCCCATCACAGCCTGAGCACCAACAGACAGGTGACACTACCTGTCTTGAATGAAGGAAAACACAGAGGTCCTGGCCAGAGTGATGGATCCAAGACATGGGGAAGCCTAAGCGCCTCTGAGCCCTCTGTGGTTCTGTGTTTAGCCTGCCATGTAAACATGTCACATCCCAGGGGAACCGAGATCAGACTTCAAAGTCTTCCTGCCAGTAGCCCAGTTTTGCTAGTGCCGAGCGACCTGGTTAAAAAGTAAAGAGCCTTCCGGGGGTATCCTTATAGCCTAGTTCATTGCACCTCTGCAGGCAACTCCCTGCTTCCCCAAAATGAAAAATGCCAAGAACTGCATTCCTTGCTACTACGGTTATCATTCTGGAGCCAGGAACAATGGCGTATCATGTGCTCTCGACCCTTGTGTGAGCAACATGCATATTCTGGCCTCCGGATTGCTGGAGCTGTGAAGTTCTTGCTCAGTTTTTCCTGAGAAGTCAAACCCCCAACTTGTCTAACTAATATCCTTCCTGAGAACTACAAAGCGTTTTTTTTCTCTCCCCCTACTTCAAGAAGTTGTATGATTCCTTCTTTTGCTTCATTCTCCCTGTGAATGCAGAGCAAGTAACAGAACATAAGGCTTTCTCTCGTCAACCATCATGGGTCTGTCTCAGCTGTTAAGAGACCAATTGTATGATATGCAACACCCAAGCTAACATTTACTTCTCCCTTGACACAGCAGTGCCCTTTATCAGGGACGGCTCCAAGTTCTACGCAGTGGTTTTGTGTTACAGAGTCTACTGCTGGCAGGGACTGATGTACAGACACAGACTTCACTATAGGAAGAGCCTGAGGCTGGAACAATGCAACTCCCAATCCTCACTCCTCCCAGAGCCCCAGCTGGGCAAGGAAATATCTTCACAGCATATCCAAGGATAGATGTTTTCTATCATGATTTACTGGGCTAATTTATATGCTCCACATAATGTAATAAAGCAGGGTACAGCGCTAATTTTTCCACCATCCACCTAACAACAGTCAGGATTAGCTTCCAACAGCTTTCAGCCTCTTTATCATTTGCAAGCAGCCAAATGTAGCTGCAGTTGCATCCTAACCATGAGGCTTCTCTGCATGACAGTACTATTTCAGGACATGCATTGGCCAGTGATAAAGAACTGCAGACTTTAGAAGAGTACGAGGTGAAGTTACCTTCACCAAAGCCCTGAACAGAGCATCAGTAGAACAGGCTGTGACCCAGTTTCAGATGACCTGACTTTCAACAGGCAAGGGGAAGTAGGTACCACAATTCATACATTCAGTTTTGGCCCTTCACAAGATAGATCCTTGCGACTGGACGGTAACAGCCAGCTCGGTTTTGTTCGCTACTGCACTGTAGAGCTGAGGCCATAGAGATCTGCTGGGCACATGTGAGAAGCTGGGCTCACAAACCAGTCCAACCTTGCTGCTGCTGGAAGAGTGGAGTGCCCCTGAGAAGGCATCACTCTCTGGTCTGTTACCAAGGCAGGAATGCAGCATTTCAGGCTCCCCAAAGCACATAAGGCCATTCATGGCTTTCTGTAATGCACTTGTACCCAAACACCTCCAGTGCAGCTCTGGGAGCCATGTGCATTTAATGTCAGGAGAACCAGAGACTGTAAGTAACAAATAAAACCTTCACTTACACTATTTCATCATTCTGGAACTCCAGCTCCCCACAGGTGTCTTCAAAGTCCTCTCCTCCACCTTTGGCTGAGCCTTCTATGGTTTTGTAGGGCACAATAACATTTCCTCGTGCACCAGAGGTTCGCAACACTTTCACTTCCATGGTCCCCACACTTTCACTGATGTGCATTACTGGCTCCTCAAAAGTGAAGATGCCAGCATGGTCATCATCAAAGATGGTGACGGTGGCAGTAGATGGTGATCCCAGGCAGGCAAGCGTTGAGACACGACTGGCCTCAAGAATGGCCTCATCTGAGGCCTCAGTGCTCACACGGACGTTACTGAGATGAACCAGGAAGTTCTCATCCTCCTCAAATATGTCATCATCGATTATGCCAACACGGATTTCCTTCTGGGTCTCTCCAGGCTTGAAGACCACTGTCCCTTCAGTGAACTCATAGTCAGAGCCAGCATTGGCCGTCCCATCCTCTGTCCGGAAGTCCACGTACACTGTGTTGGTCAAGTCACCTCCCCGCCGAATGATGGTCAAGGCGACCGTGCCACAGTTCTCCAGACACTGGTAGGTCCCCTGCTCAAAGTAGAGCTTGCTGATGGGATCGTTTTCTGCCACCTCGCTATTGACCTCATGCATGCTGACAGCTTTGCGGGCCTGGTCTGCAGCATGTCTCTTCAAGATGTTGCCAGCACCTGTCATGAGCCGAGTAGCCTGAATGCGGTAAAAGGCCCTGCTCTTTTGCTGCTGGCTCAGGACCTGGTAGTTGGCCAACTCGATAAGCTGTTCAATTTCCTTGTCGGGGTGCTTCTGTTTCAGCTCCTTCAGGATCCGAGCCATTTCCCTCCTGGCTTCCTCATCGTCCTGGTCTTTCTCATCTACCTCCAACACCAGTGTCCCATCCAAAAAGTTCTCCACATGAGAGTTAGCAACCTTTCCATCCATCTCGATATCAGCTTTGGAGGAGGGCCGGTCACCCTCATGCTCAATGATCATGCCTCTCTGTTTGCCGGCTCGGTATTTCTTGTAGACGTACTTGTAAAATAAAAGCCTCCTGTCAGCTATCCAGGCAAACACCACACAAATGGGGAAGAAGAAGAAGGTGAGCAAGCCTTCCCAAACCTCCACAATCCCAGGAGAAGACACAGATAAAATAATGTAAAGCCAAGTGTAGGCAAAGATGCTCCAGGCCGCTGTAACGAAAAACACTCTCAAGTGCTTGATCTTCCTTATCTCTCCATCTGGAACCACATAAACACAGATCGCAATGATGACAAACATGTTAAAAGCAGCACTCCCCACAATTGTGCTTGGTCCCAAGTCTCCTGCCGTGAAGCCGTGGCCACACACTTCAATAACAGACAGGAGAATCTCAGGGGCAGACGAGCCCAAGGCCATTAGTGTGAGGTTGGAAACGGTCTCATTCCAGATCCTCACTGTGGTTTTGCTGGTCTCGCCGTTGGGCTTCTTGATGGTTATTTCCCTCTCTTGGGATGTAATGACTTCGATGGAGGACATGAAGCGGTCAGCAATGATGGATACTCCCAGGAACATGTACACCATTGCTACAAAATATACCGTTGCCCGAGCAATTTTGTCACCGAATGAGGGGTCTTGCGGTTCCCATATTGGTAAAATCACACCCTTTTTGCAGATGTATGAGCCAGTGCACTCCTCGGTGTCGTTCACGGGCAATTCGCTGGGGCCCTCCGCATGTATGCCATCTGCATGGAAGAGCAACACCAGCACAACGCTCAGGAGTTGGAAGCTCACTGGGAAGGTGGGTGGGTGAGTTGCTTGCGACATGGCCGCTTCCACAGAACAGGTCCCAGATGTCCTCAGCCTGCAGAGACAAAAGTAAAGATCATTAAGTGAGGCTGACCAGAGTGAACAGATTTTTCCTCTACAGCCTGTTTATTTCTCATCTTTCCAAACATATAATCAGCTTACCCTGTTACTCAAGAAGACACATCTGATGAGCCCATTTGTATTATTACCGCAGTTTTCCATGTACACATCATCTAGTTCAGTTATCTGAACGACGACTGATTCAGATGCTACCAGTGGGCCATCACCTTCCCCCTTTAGCTACTAAGATGTTTAATGCCACTCTCTTTCTCTTCACTGAAAGCCTATTTGTTCAATTGCATTTTCTTGTTTCTCATCTAATTAAAGCCTATCATTCTGCTTCACAGATGGCAGAAGTGTTTCCCATTTCAAAATTACAATGCACTCACTCACTGGTGTTCAGGGCAAGAGCAGGAGAGGAGAGGGAAATCTATTATCCCCCCTTGTTTAAAAAAAAAAAAAAAAGTTTCTATATTTGCCATTTTTAGTCACTGTAAACTATGTATTTCACAGCCTTTTCTTGCTCACAATCCTCCCAGGCATCTACTCCACATCAGAAATCTGCACAAAGTGAGCTCAAGCCCTGGCAAAACCTTATTCTTAACAGTAACTTGGTCATAAGGTGCGCCATAAGGGCAGTCTTTAATTAATGATTTTGGAGCCATTCCTTCCACAGTGCATCACTTTGCACCTTCCTGAAACTGGAAAGAACCCCATATGCATCCAAGCCTGGCTGTCTTGGCATGCTTCAAGAGGAAACCTGTTCCTGTGCTTTTTTCCCACTAGGTCAGCTTTGACGTCTTCCCCTTCAAGGGCCTTTCTCACTCCATTTACAACATCAGTCAACAGGCACAACAGCAGTACTTGCCCTTCTCCTGTCCCAGGATTTTCCAGCAGTGTAGAGGAGCTGTTAAAGAGGTTTGCAGTTAGTTAACAGTGCATAAACTGACTGAACAGATGCCTTTAGTGCAAAAAACTGAGCATGCTCAGTGCTACATTCTCAATTTTACTAGGCAATAAAAGCCAGATTCCTAGTTATTAAAGCAGTTTTTTTTCTCCTCAAGGAGAGCCTTTGCCATGCTTCTCCAATACAAGTTAATTTAATCACATGGTCTCTATGAAGAGAGGAAAATGAGTACATCAATACCTTCAATTTCCTGGAGAATACAAAAGGCTGAAATGGTTTTTGCTCATAAAAAACACACCCCAGAAAGGAAAAATAAAAATGAAAGGTTTCAGCCATGAAAGGTTTCAACTTCTAACAGAAGGATGGTATTCCCAAGCCCATATCAGAGATGGGACACAAGCAGAAGATCCAGTCAATGCCTCCCAAAGCCCAGCCTCCGCAATGCCTGGCAAGTCTCACCCTACCATTTGCCATCTGCCTGGTCTCCAGCAAACACAATGCCAGGTCTGACAGCTGCATGCAGTGGGAGACACAGACCAACCCATCCATGCTAAAGGCAGTACCCAGCAACAGCATCCCAGCTGTCACCTGGGCCCCATCACAGCGAGGGTGACGCAAGCAGGATGGCTAAGCACACCTTCCCTCTTCCTTCTTAAGAAGTGCTTGTTTCACAGCACAGCTGGGAACCAGGCTGGCTCTTCACCATGAAACAGCTACACCCATGCTGCATTGCTGACTGCAGAAGTACAGGCCTGCCACCATTCCTGGGGAGAAGCATTTACCCTCCTGAACAGCACCAACATCTACTTGAAGAAAAGCACCTAGTCACCACGACACATCTCCTTATCCCCCATGACACAGAAATCACCCTTCCTCATCAGGACAGGGGCGTATTACACAGGGAGAGGGCTGCACACAAGTGAAGAACTCTCTGGAAGAATCAATGGGAACCATCCTACACCCATGTTACAGGACCTACTCCACAAAGAGACATCGTAATAATGGATCAAATCCCTCTCCTCCATTCGTTTTATTTAAGGATACTGTAGTGGTATTATCGGGCTGGAAGAATAGTACTGAGAATTTACCAAGACAGTTTTGTACAAATGGCATTATACAAATGAAATTTCCAAGTTCTTCTGCCTTGCCCCTACCACCCCCAATTTTCTAATTAAGAAAAAGGTACACAGAGCAGGAAGCAAACAAACCAGAGAACTGGGTGATAAGAACAGATAAAATGAACAAGAAGCACCAAGTCTCTTGTATGAAGGCAGATTTAAAAGAAATGAGTTGTTTGCAGTTGTAGCTGTTAATGCTATAAAAAGCTCTAGTGCTGGCGTGAGAACCCTCAACATTGCTCCCTTGATCACAGTCCCTGGGTACCTCCTGCTTCCCAGAACTCAGGCAGTAGGCATAGCTAACAAATCTGAAGTAAAAAACTGAAACATGATGTTAAAGAAGAGTACCTTGTTACAGGCTATTTGGTGAATAGCTGAGTTGAAACAGATGTGTGTTCATGGTCACTGAAGTTTAGCCAATTAGTCACCCAACATCTGTACTCCTGTGTTTCACACTGCTCCAAACCAAGTCTCGGAGACATTTGATAAAGGAGCTGTCAAACAGAAGCCGACTTGGTATCTACTCTGTTTACTCTAGATAGCTCCTAAGTGTAGTTGGGTTTTGATTTGTTTTTAATTTAAATATGTAGGTTTAAAAAAGACTTAGTGTGGGCATAAAATATTACTCAGCTGCATGGGTCTTCATCCTCTCCTTCTAAAGGGTAGTAGTTTCAACAGAAAACTCAAGAGCATCCACCTGCCCTTGTTCAGTTAATTTTCTCCCTGTGGCATGTCATATCCTTGCACATGTACAATTATTCAGATCAACCAGGCATTGTGAAATCCCCTTGGCAAGAAGAGGAAACAGATGGTTCTAGAGAATATATTATGCTTTGGGTCACTGATTTAGGTCAGAAAGATAGGAGAGTCCCATCACACTTTGGACCATCTCTACAGTCTTAAAAGGGTTTGAGCACTGGAAGTCTCAGCCAGCAAAAAAAAGACAGCCACTAAATCAGATTAATAAGGCACTTCAAGATTATTTGCCATGCTCCTCCCTTTCAACCATTCTAGTATAAGTCTGTCTGGTTTTTTGGGGGGTGATTTTTCTTTTGGGGTTTGTTTGATCTTTTTTTCTAATCAAGCCCCATATTACATTAAACAGGAGGGAAAGAGACATCTGAGCAATCCATCTTTCTGGCCTTCCCATCCACCTCTCCATGTACAAACAACATTTTTCCCTCTGGTGGCAGGAGATAAGAAGCATGGAACTTTTCTGGAGAGTTCAGAAGGGTGGGGAAAGGCTGAAGCTTTGGAAGAGAAACCCACCAGCCTTGGCAATGTGCTGGGACCCTTCTTTGAGCAGCAGCAGCATCCTCCAACTCTCTGTTGGACTTTCTCCAGCATTTTGTGGCAGAGTCATCAAGGAAGATTCACATACCCTCACCAGCTTTTCTACGGGTTAAAACTTAAACAGGGGAAGTTTAGATTGGATATAAGGAAGAAATTCTTTACTGTGAGGGTGGTGAAGCACTGGAATGGGTTGCCCAGGGAAGTTGTGAATGCTCCATCCCTGGCAGTGTTCAAGGCCAGGTTGGACAGAGCCTTGGGTGACATGGTTTAGTGTGAGGTGTCCCTGCCCATGGCAGGAGGGTTGAAACTGGATGATCTTAAGGTCCTTTCCAACCCTAACTATTCTATGATTCTATGATACTTGGACCAATTCACAATGAGTGTTATTAACACCGGACTCGGGAATTACAGAAGGCTAGAAGATGTTTGGCCCCAGCATGCTGTTTGTATACACACAATCAGAGCGCGACACTAAAAATATCTCTGAGAAGCAGCTGCTATAAGATTAGCAGAATTTCTTTATTTGTAGAATCCAAAATAAACACTTTAGTCCTCAGAGACCCTCTTTCACTGCATTTGCATAGGGTCTCAGCCCATGGTCAGCCCACTGCTGCAGGCACAGGGTTAGGAATATTCCCAGTAAAATCATTCCTATTATTCTCTAATGAGAAGCAAGGCTACCAGAATGCCAGCCCTCTGTCCAAACCCAACTTTGTTAGCTTTTCATTAAGGTGGCTCAATTGCATTTCCCATCCCAGCCATCAACAATAAAAGCAAATGTGGTAGCTGATTCACAGCATGCGAGGTTAGCAGCCCGGCAAACACTGCCTGCCACAGTGCTCGTGGCCTCCCCATCACTCCCCCAATGCCTCTTGGCTTAGATTTATCACAGCAGCACCGTGCAGGGGTTCAAGCTGCTCTTATGCTCAGTGCTAGCAAATGTGTGTGGTGAAGGGTCCCAAACCACCACCCTAGGCCAGAAAAACCTTGCCCATAATCACTACCCCCTGCCCAGGGATAGCACCCAGAGCCCTTTTCAGCACCAAAGGAACCAGGTTGTCCTGGGGATCCCTGGAACAGGCTGCCTGAGAACTTTCAAAGGGAGCTGGAGCTAAACAGGAGAGCCAGGTCCTAATGTATGCTCTCCTGAAGTAGTAGCTGTGCTACCATGGACAAGCTCCCTCGAGGGTTCTAGCAGTTGGTTTTGCACAGTCATGGAAGAAAACCTTCAAGAGGCTACATGGCTCTTCGGGGAGTAGATCCAGCTCCTGGCCAAGGATTTCTGGTCCAGCCTTTATGCCAACCCTTGGTGTTGTCAAACACCATGAGGGCAGTACCTGCCCACATTGACACACGTTTCCTTGCTGGGCATGGGGAGCTCTAGATTTTATGGACCGGTAGGACAGAGCTCCTGCTGCCAGCTTGTGCTCCAGGCCTCCAGCTCAGGAGCTGCCAGATAGGGAGAAAACATCCTTTAGACTCTGCCCTAACCTTTCCCTGGCAGCAACACTTTCAGGCTGGCTGGTTGCTGTATGTGAAGTGAGCCTAGAAGCTGCTCTATGTTTCAGCAAAGCACAGCTTTTCCTTTGCAGCAGCCTCCCCAAAGTCCAATCTCCATTTGGGTACTTCACCCTTGAAATATCCACTGTAAGACCCTTGCAGTTATTTTCCTACGCC